AAAAAAAAAAAAAAAAAAAAAAAAAAAAAAAAAAAAAAAAAAAAAAAAAAAAAAAAAAAAAAAAAAAAAAAAAAAAACTCAAATCGCAGGGGAGGACTACCTTCGCAGGCTCCCGTTTCTTAGAAACTGCGCGGACTTTGAAAGCGCTTCTTCGCAGTCCTCCTATCCAAAAATCAAGAAGAAAAAAACATCCAAAAATTCAGAAGACCGATAGCGCGACAGAAATTGATCGAGAAAAGAAAATGCGACAGTCTATCAACGGATTTACTTATCAGCGTACCGATTACTCGTCGCCGTGCAGATACGGAAGGTGAATTAGCCGTGTTGATAAAGGGCTTTGGCACTGTGACGAACGTAGAGGCATCGCCATGAATCTAGTCGAAGAAGCAAAGTTGTAGGGAGTCGAATGAGGCGGGCGGGAGAAACGTTTTAAGGAGGGAAGAGAAGTTCCAACGAAAGTGCAAGTAAGAAGTGAACCAAAAATTGAATAAATTTATACAAAAAGTTCAAACGGCGGCATACCCGTTTGAAAATCCATAGTAGTATTTTTTTTTAAAGCTAAATTAATAAAAATAATCATAAACTCTTTACTTTACTATTTTTTTTATTATTTATTTATAGAAACTGATGTTATTTATTTCAAAAATAATATTTAATTTTTAATAGTATTTCAAAAATAAAAATTATGGTCACCGAAGAAATATTGAGATTATCCCGTGTCAAATCTGTATTCCAAATCTTTATTTGAATTATAGAAATAGAACGTTACCATAAATAAAAAAATATAATAAATAAGCATAAAGTTCGTGCAGAAATCAAGTGGTGTGTGAGCACTAAGTCGGGTGAAGAAGAAGAGGGAATTAGAATTCCTACATTTCTCCGTTCGTTTTTGTAGACAGAATAAATTCTCCGCCCCCCAAATTCTGTATAAATCCCTACTAATAAATTTATATCTCGTGTAATTCAATTTATCTGTTACCTACTAAAATGGTTGTTTTAGTTCATCGAAAAAACTTCGTACCAATAGATAATATTCCTTGTTAGACGAACACGACTCTCCACAGTGGTATGATATTGTTCACTTTGAGCACAAGCTCTCATAGCTTTGCTTTGGGCTTCTCCAAAATGACTCATATCAACGGAGAGAGTATTCTTTGTTTATAAACTCATGATCATTCCCCAAATTAGCCGACTTTCATCATCTTAACACCGCCCCTCGAACAAAGTGCACCTTCCCTTACTCAAGGCTCGACACCTTTGGAGTCTTAGTCATTTTTTATTGCCTTCAAGGAGGCTTGACTCCTTTTTCTTTTGGAGTCCTTTGTTCGATGTTAGAGGATTTACCAATCTATTGGCACGACTAAGTTTAGAGCCTGACTCTGATACCATGTTAGACGAACACGACTCTCCACAATGGTATGATATTTGTCCACTTTGAGCATAAGTTCTCATGGCTTTGCTTTGGGCTTCCCCAAAAGGCCTCATACCAATGAAGAGAGTATTCTTTGTTTATAAATCCATTATCATTCCCTAACTTAGCCGTGGGACTTTTTCCTAACTTCTCCCAACAATCATCCCCCCGAACAAAGTACACCATGAGCCTCCTCTAAGGCCTATGGAGCTCTCGAACAACTTCCTCTTCATCGAGACTTGACTCCTTCCCTGGAACTATCAAACAAAGTATATCATTTGTTCGACACTTAAAGATTTTATTGATATTACTAAGTTAGAGGCATGACTCTGATACTATGTTAGAAATTACGAATCTCCATAATGTAATATTGTTCACTTTGAGTATGAACTCTCATGATTTTCTTTTTAGTTTTCGAAAACGTCTAGTTCTAACCTTAATTATGAACTCGTAATCATTTCCTTTATAAGCCAACGTGAGACTGATCCCAACAATCCTCAACACTAATGTATGATTATTTCTTATACTTGTTCGATGGAAGTTCAAAATCTATAGAATCATCGACAGGACACGAGGATTATGGGTGAGTTTCAAAGATTCATTCTAATCTTCCAACCGAGCAGAAGGCTTATGTAATCGACAACAAATTGGATCCAATTTTCCTCCACGTTATGTCTTCTTAATCTCATCATTGAACTTTATCTTATGAACATGGCCAAATCTCCAGTTGTCCACAAGCAACCACCATTTCTTTCTTTTTCCCATCACTCAATTTCCATTCCATTATTCCAAAATTCTAAATAAATAAAATGAAAATACCCCTCCTATATAAACCCACACTAAACCCATTCCATTCATCAATTTCAAATATTATTTGAATTAAAATGAGTTGTAACTATACGCACCGTTTCATCGCGCTCGCATCTTCCTTATTTGTCGCCTTGTATCTCACCTCCACTGTGGCAAACGACGTCGTTGCACGAACCTGTGAGATCTCCGCCGCGAAAGATCCCAACGTCCATCTCGACTTCTGTCTCCGATCTCTCGCAGCCGCTCCCGCGAGCGACACGGCGGACCTGTACGAACTCGGTGCGATCTCGATCGAGTTGATCGGAAGGAACGCGACCAGTACGCGGCGGTACATCGAGCGCTTACTGAAGAAGAAGAAGAAGAAGAAGAATCCGTCGCCGGATTCGTACTTGAGGCCACCACTGAACGATTGTAGAGAGCTCTACTCCGACGTCAGAGTAACGGTGCGCGATGCGGCAGCGGACTACGCATCGAAGCGCTATGAAGAGGTGAACGTGAAGTTGAGTTCGATTATGGATGCGGTTACGACTTGTGAGGACGGCTTCAAGGAAATGGACGGCGGAGTTTCGCCATTGACGAAGCGGAATGACGATGCGTTCGAGTTAACCGCCATTGCGCTCTGTATTCTCAACATGCGTCCTTGAGCAATTGTAGGAAGTGGTTTGTATAGTGCGATTGAGAATTTTAAATAAATTAATAAATATTTGTGTGTGTGTAATTTGTATTTTATTCCTTCGCTAATAATTCTAATCAAAATATAACTTTTAAATTTTTTATTTTAGTTAGGGAATATTTTTAAAACTCGGACATTATAATTTATAACTTTTAGACATTTGACAACATTCTCAATCACAATCATCAAATAATAATCTAGACCAAACAACTCGATCACAAGTCACACCCGATACTCGACCAAAATTGTGTCTAACAGGTCAAAGTGAACATAACAACTATTTCTTTTGTTGATCGAATATTCAAATTCTCATACTTCACTTATTGTACTGCAAAAGTACAACCTAAACAAGAATAACTTGTCATTAATTGACATAAGCTCTTTACATAAACAAGCATAACTTGCCCTTAATTGATATAAACTCTTTTTCTTAAGGTCGAAGATTTAAGCCGATACAAAAGTGTAGACCTATACACATAAACACATCCAACTAGGGAAGCAATTCATTACAAGTTCCATACAAAATGAACAAGTCAAGCATTTCAAGCAAGCATCATCCAATTGGTTTACATGCATAAACATTGCAATACAATCTATTCGAATGACGATGCTTCAAAGCAAAAACTACCAAAACACCAAATATCAGAAAATAAATCATCCTCGGTTAGGTTAGGTTTTAAACGTAATCGACTCTTAAAGTTTACTTTTATGTCTAATAAATCTCTCAACTTTCAATTTCGTGCCTAATAAGTTCCTAACCATGGAACATTTTTTTTTAAACTAATGAATCTATTAGACGCCTCTCTTAGGATCTGTCAAGGAACTTCTTACAATTAAGAGACAACACAAACATACAAACCAGAAAGTTCATAAATCAAACTCCTAATTTAACCAAGTATGAAGGGCGTAGGGGAAAATAACCTCATTTAATATTAAAATAGTGCAGTAGTGAAGATCGTGCTTCCAAGGCAAGCAATGGAGTATCAACAGCATAGGGCAAGCTATGGTTTCCTTAACTATAAACTGGAAAGTTCATGAATCAAACTCGTAATTTAACCTATATTAAAGTATAAAGGGCAAGCTTCGAGCAAGCGTCGAACAAGGCAAGCTATGGAGTAATAAAACAAACAATTCGATTTTCCTTGAGATTCAGAGCTATGGTTTCTAGCCTCCTCTTAGTCAAAGGGCAAAACATATGAGCAGGGTGTAAAGATATTCAAATTTGTCTGGACCGAAGGTATTATGTTCCATGCAGTTGCAATTATTTTCCATCACAGAGTAAGGATATCAACTCTCAACAAGAACCCAAGAACGGTCAAAACAACAATGTTGAGATGAAAATTCTTTCACTGAATAACAAAATAGAACTAGAGAGAGAGAGAGAGATGCAAATACTTTGTCAACTAGACATTGGATGGTTGTAAACGTACTCGATTGCGAGATCACAGGAATCTATTTTATCAGCTTCCTTGTCTGGTATCTCTAGCTTGAACTCCTCTTCCAGACCCATTACAATCTCCACAGTGTCCAAGCTGTCTAAACCCAAATCTTTTTGGAAATGAACATCAGGGCTCACCTGCAGATAAACAAGCAACAATTCAGCCAAGCTTTAATTGAAGTTGAGTAGGAAAGAGATGCGGATTGGAAGTGACCATAAAACAATGAGAGAATAGATGTCACGGTTGATGGCGATACGTAACGGACTAAAATGGACAATATCTACCAGCGGTGGGCATTTGTTCTTTTTATCTTAAAAGGGTGTTTTTTTTTTTATCTTTAATGGAGAAATTGATATGAACATTATGTTTATGTTGGTTAAGGTATGATGTCTACGACATGTTTTTAACGACCATTGAGTGGTTTGTCTTCTAATGTTTATATTCATGTTTTGATATATATATAGGTTAAGTTACGGATTTGGTCTTTGGTTAAAATAGTTTAAATTTGATCAGTATGATCTTAGGAGTTTTAATTCAATCGATATGACTAGAGCACAGTTTAAATTTGATTTTATGACTTGAATTCGGCTTCTAAAATTTCAATAACAATTTTTTTAAGGTGAGGATTCAACGTTCTAAGTTCCTAACTATTTGGCTGAGAGTATATGTTTTAACGAGCTAAACAATAATGAGATTAACCAAAGATGAATGATTGGGTTCGAGATTGTGGTGTCGGGGAATTTTCTATAGATGATTTGTGTGTGTTGAAATGTATGCCATATTGTCCATTCTAGCTGGCCTCGATCGACCCTAACCATCGAGTTTGGCTTGAAAATGTATGTAATATTAGGTATAGCATAGCCAGCTTGTTGGGAATCTTTCAAAAAGGTGTGCAATATCTACTATAGCATAGCCTGGTTTTCGGGAATATGTTAATGCAACACAGGTCATGAGGAGGTTAATCTCAATCCACGCCAGAGTTCTTAAAAAGTGCACGAAATCATTAAGTATAGAAGTCAATTGTTAGCACTAGTGAACCGAACCAAGCAACCCACATAAATGAAGGGAGAGATATTGGGTGCAATACAGCAATCGACCAAAACTCGAAAGAAGTAAAAATTCCAGAAATACCGAATCGAGTATGAAAATGGAATGACATTACAGCATAAATTATTAAGAGCCACTTTCTAGGTTAATGCTCTATCAGGGAATAAATCGTCGCGACTTTCTACCAATCAGTAAAGAGAAAATCACAGAGAATCTCAATTACGAATTCGAAGAGACAAAGCATGGGAAATTGAATCAAGCAAACGATTCAGAATTCACCGGAAATAAGTTCAAACCCTAAAAACCGATCGCATATCAGAACAAGAAATGATCGAATCGGCATATTAAGATTTCCTACGCTTCCAATCTATTCTTCCCGCATTTGCTAAATCGACAAACATCGTTTCAACAGAGTCGAAAAACCAACTCAATCAGCTAAAAACACAAGTGAAAAAAGGAGTGATAAGATCGAATCACCTTGGACGGATCGACTTTCGGATGGCACTTGATAACCGAGAGAACTCTCTCAATGACCTCCTCCTTGGTTATGTGATCATCATGCGATGAAAATAGCCGGAGCGATCCACTGGCACACGACGGAGGCTGGCTTCCCCGGCGAGGTAGGGCAAAGAATTGGATTGGAACTCGAACATGGCGAAGAACGGCTGCCCTCAGCGCCATTTCTCTCTATGCGGTGACTTCAGCGCTCGAACTAGGCACTGATTAATTATCCATTACAGAACACGAGGGGAAAGTCATTTGGCACGCGCAAAGCACGTGCTTTAGGTTTCCCTTTTTTTTCCTTTTTATTATTTATTTTTTTTCACTCTTACCTCAACTATATAATATTTTTCACATTTAGTTCAATCCGAGCCTTAAAAAAAACATTATTATAAAACTAAACACATTATTAGAATCATGTAACATTAATTTAAAATAATTATAAAATTGGGCGCCTTATTAGACAACAATGTTGTGGTAATATCGTATAATTTGTGTGTATCCATCTTGATAATTACTTATAGGTACGAGTATCGTGTAAAATACATGTGTGTATCGATACTTATAGCAACGTATGGCTAAGAGCATCACGTAATGTATGTGTGTACCTTGTATGAGATCTTACATTGGTTGGAGAGGGAAATGAAATATTCCTTATAAGGGCGTGAAAATGTCTCCCCAATAAATGCGTTTTAAATTCACAAGATTGACGACGATACGTAATGAGTCAAAGCGGATAACATCTACTAGCGGTGGGTTTTGACTGTTATAAATAGTATCAAAGTCAAACACCTAGCGGTGTGCCAACAAGAACGCTGGCTCCCACGGGGGTGAATTGTGAAATCTCATATTGGTTTGAGAAGGAAACGAAATATTATTTATAAGAGCGTGGAAATCTTTCTTCAGTAAACGCGTTTAAAATCGTGAGGCTAACGGCAGTACCGTCACTGTTAGAGTATATACACGTATGTATTATATATACATATAATAAAGCTGGCATTGGCGCTATCCAACCTATGTCAAAGTCATTCTCCCTGTCACAAAGGTAAACCTACATTTTTCTAATTCTAATAATTTTCAATAAAAATGTAAATAAATTATCTAAAAACCATATGATTTATGTCATTATCACTATGATCTCACAATCATCTCTCCCAATAACATATGGAACTTTATTATTAAAAAAATAATAACTAAAAATAAAAAATAAATATAAATAATGATTCGAAAGTTTCTATAGGTATACGATATAAGTTTTATTATCAATTTGAACATAACTCAGTGATATACTAATTAATATCTTACAGACCGATAGTTTGACTCCACCTATTCCAAAAAACGAGGGATAAACTAAAACTGTCGTTTTCATCTGATATGATGTTATACCACGATTCTAAGACCGTCACACCTAACCATTCAAGCACCTATCAAAATAACAGCAAACAAGATATTTAAAATTACGTGAAAATAAAAAAATGCGCTAAACAATTAATATATTATTTACCCTTATAAACATAATTTTTTTAAGAGTTTAAACAATTAAATAAAAATGGTTAGGCCCAAATTAGATTATAGACGAAATTAGATTAATTAGACATTTTTTTTTAATTCAAACACGCAGGAGGAGCGTGAATAGGCAATGAAAAGAGCCTTGACTATCTATGGTCGTTGATTAATGAGATGAAGCGAAGTCCCTACGATCAAGAGGGCCCACCAGACCAGCAGAGAGGTTGATAACATTAATCAAAATAAAATGCAATCAACTTATTAAGTTATGCGTGAGCGTGACACACCAAATTAAATCTTCCTAAGCGTTCCACGTCTACAATCAGCTATGTTATAACACTAAACTTTAGGTGTCACCTCGTTTTAGACATTTATTTTTTTAACATATAACTTGATTTACAAAATATATATTTTTGGAGATAATTCTGATTAAAATTAATTTAATAGTAATAACAAATAAGAATTTTTTTAGGATTTA